CCTATTATAAAAAACATTATGTCATGCCAGTGATATAGAGCTTTCTTTTTGCGTTAAGCCAAATTTATAATTATTCTAGTTTAACAAAGCAACAATTAGACATGTTGCTCTTTGATTTAAATGTATTGGATAATTATGTCAGTTCCATAGAGCCATATTTTGAGGCTGAACAAATCGCAAAATATCTTATGTTAGTAGCAGCAAATTTTGAGATTAATAGCTTGTCATTATTTTTGAGAGAATTGTGGGTTTGGTGTTTGTGCTCTTCGCTTATTATAAATAGTTATTTAATTGCAAAATGGATGAATTTAATTGCATGCAACGTTGTAGCGAAACAAGAGCCCCAATACAAATATGTTGCGTTTGGCAAGAAAAGAGGCCGTTTTTTACAAAGTAGGCAACGGAGCCCTTAGTTTAAATTAATGTTTTTTCAAATAAATAATAAAACAACGAAACTCCGTCTGAAGAAAAAATCAGCCCAATTGCTGACAATACTGTCATAAATGAATAGGCATTTAAAAGATGGAACTTATACTATAATAAAAAGAAATGTAGAGCCAGAATATACAGCGGACTTAGGACTAGAGACTTGATATAATTAATAGATGCCACCAACTAAACCAATAATATTATTATTGCAGATATTGTTTCACACTTAGAATCAGAAGAGCACATTATTATCAACCATGATCAAGTTGTTGAAACTTCTTTGGCAGATAATCTGCATGGACAACTAGAGTTCTTAAATGTGGTTACTCAGAACATCGTGCAAGTTGGAGATAATATTTCAAATGAGTTTGCGGAGGAAATAAATACAATTATGGCAAATACCATTGAAGCTACTCTGGGAAATGTACAGGCACAAGATCAGAATTTATCTCAACAGAATGCACCTCCTTCAGATACTTACAGTAAGTATTCTATTGCCATCGATTCTAACTGTTCGCCTGACAACTTTTCTACTTACTCTTTTGAGAGCGATTCTTTAGAAGAACAGAACAGATTCTTTAGAAGTGCAGAATTTAACATACCGGAAACTGAATAATGCAGAAGCTGTCGCTGTTAATAACCAAGACAATGAATCTGATATTAATTTGGCTAGAAAACACTTACGAAATACATTAATCGTCAGAGAGAGTCAAGAGAAAAATCATGTTATTTCTGTGCCTTGTGGAGGCATCAGCGGTTTTCCTATAAACGACATGTAGCTACTTATAACATTACTAATTATGATGTTATTGAAAACCAGGGTTACGGTTTTACATCGCATGAAGGCCTAGGCAAACGTGGGGCCAATGAAATTGGCAGCTGTTTGTATGTCTTTCTAAAACACCACACAAAAAGTAAAGACTTCACTATTTACTCTGACAATTGCGCCTGACAAAACTAAATTTGCTATCTCTTTGTTATTGCATTGCGTTAATACTATTAAATCCATTGACGAAATCACATGCAAATTTTTAGTTGTTGGTCATACACAGAACGAAGGAGATGCACGCCTTAATCGAACAAGAAAAAAAACGATGCCTTAAAAGTACTACACTCCTGAGCAACTCATTCCAATAATAAGGCTTGCTAAGAAGACTGGCAAGGCTTATAAATGCATAGAAATTAATTACAGCGATTTTTTTGATAGAAAGTCTCTGCAAGCAGCAATCGGAAAAAGTTTAATATATACACCAACGGTGCAAATGTACTCTAAAATTAGTCAAGAGTAAACCATTTACAATTTTTTACAAGAAGTCATATTCAGAAAATTAATTTGATGTCCGCCACAAAATGAGACGAGGTCATGTTAGCAACATAAACAGTAAGATTTTGACATTGTCAGAAAAGAAAAAGTTTTTTATGTACAGACATCTCGGTAATTTTTATTTAAGGAACCCGTCGACGACCCTTTAAAACGGGTAGTTTCTTTTGGTGCACCACACAACATTTGGCGACCGTGACAGAACATTTTAATAATAATAATAACTGGGAAAAAATAGTTTTTGGTCTGTGCATAAGCAGGTAAACACCTGTGTACCTTTGAAGAGTGTGTGTACAATCCGTACCAACATAGTTGAGTTTTGTAAACTTTTACCGGGTTTCGAACTTGGTCGTTTTAACCTCGAAACTGAGTGATTTTGAATCGGGTTTGCAAAACGTTTATCATGGTTACGGGACTTGAAGTTACAAAAAAAAGTCGTACCGCGTTTTACCGAAGTGCATTTACACGGACCGCAAACCAACTAGAAGTTGAGTTACAGTCGGAAATTCCTGACAAGGATTTTATACAAGTTATCCTCGAAATGTCACAGTCAACATTCGACTGTCTGAGCAAAATTGACTGTGAACTGTATGACCTGTTGTTGGAAACGTCGACAGCCGCCGAACTTGAAGCTGATATAGAAAGCTGTGATGTCTATACCAAGAAATTCACTACACTGCGGCTGAAATGTAACAAGCTTCTTGAATCAGGCGCCCTAACTGAAAGTACCCAGGTAACATTTGATATTCCATGAATATCCCAGAATGTTCAAAAAATATACAGAACATTGCGGGAATATCCTGGGAATATACATGGTTGAACATTCCTAACACGAATGTTCGTGGAATATACATGCATGTATATTCATCAAAGTTCATAAAAAGTATATCTTAGGTATGTACATATTGGGTATATGTGCAGATGAACATGCCAGGTATGTACATATTGTGTATATGTGCCGGTGAATATACCTAGTATGTTCAAAACATATATTCCGTTAATATACATGAATGTATATCTATATTGTATATCTATATAGTATATTCCAAATTGGTTGAATATAAATTTTGCGTGCCCGCAGCAGAAAAGTAAGGGCACGTACAAGTACAAGAGTTTATATGAACTTTTCTTTTTAAATGCGTCAA